ACGTCGTATCTAAAATAGAAAAACCATGAAAAAAACCTGTGAATAAAATAGTTAATAAGAAATAGATTGCTACCAAATATTCCTATATCTATTTATTTTTATATAATAATAAATGAAACTCATTTAAACGCAAAACTCTACAATACATTAACCTACACGATGCATATTATAACAGCCCCAAAGTGAAATAAATCATTGGCATACATCTCATATTGTTATATAGAACAATACCTTACCGTAAAGACATTGTGACCGCAATTTCACATTCAAGAGGGGTACAAACGTGAAGTGATGGTATCTGGAATGCCATTTCCAGCACAATGATAATGGGTGAATGAATTTTCATGGTATTTAAATATAATTGTATTATATAGTTAGAGAATCACAGGTTCCTTTGTTGAATTTAAATATTGTTGTTGTTTTAGTAGCATTAATTTATATAAAATTTAAAGTGAGATTATGGTTAGAAATAAATAACTAAAAGAAACTGGGCGTGGGTACAAAAGAGGGACTAGATATTAGATACAATTTAGATTAAACAGACTATTTAAAAGCTCTTCTACCGACCTCAAATTGGAGGAGGTACTCAGTTCGACTGTATGTTTTTTTATGTGTATCTCCTTATAACTTTTTTCTAGGTGAATGGATTTCGCTGATTTAAAATTATTTCATTTAAAAGCTGGTGTTTCTCATGTGGTTCAAATTTGATCGAATTTTGACCAGCTCGTACTATGCAAGTTCATCGTAAAAGTGGGTTCTCGTAAGACGCGACACAAATCAAAAAGTGAGCAGCGGCATCTTCTTAATAAAATCTCGAAAAAGTTCTAATTAGGGCAAATGCAATCCATATGAGGCAAGCTATAAGGAGGCCTATGTTTTACGTTTAGCAGTGGACAAAAACTTAGCAATGTATGTCATATGACTGTAATGAATAAATTAATGAAAGTACTACAAATAACTAATCTAACCAAACGTTTTGCTTCATCTTTTGTAATACATATAGAAAAGCAATGGAAAAATTTTCTGGCGTCTGTTTTTCCGTCAGAATACTATCAGGGCATCTTTAAGGCAAGAGTAAATAAGCTTAGAATACGTTAAGATTTACCAGCTAGAGCTTCATCATCACGAAACACCAGCTGGGATTGTGGTCAAGCGTTGGTTCATAATAAGTTAAAAAATATATAAAATAAATCAATAAAACGTGCAAATAGAAGACAACTGAGACTTACCAATTTTTCATAATTAGTATTATTTATATTTTTATATTTTTTTTTTATAAGAAAAAGTAACATCGTTCTCATTCCTTTTTTTATTATTTAATATTTTCTATCAGGCTTTTCAAAGTCTTTTATATTTTGTTACTCATTATTTATAATGAGCGAATAACGTGAGAAAATATGCTTGCTATTTAAAGTATCGCCTTAATTAATGTTTTTTTTTGTTAAAACAAATAATATTTTTGTTAGAACGTTAATTAGATTTCTAGAAAATTGTAACAAACATTATTTGAATTCAAGTGACTTTTCTGCTTGCTGCGTAAAATGTAACGTTAAAAGCATGTTATGTAGAATGACCTTTTCCTCGTTTTGAAGAGCCCTTGTCATCGTGATATGCGGACGACATTGTATTGATATGTGACCCAGTGCTTCAAACATGACTCAAAATGTTTTCTACTTAGGTTTTGCTACATCGCAAAATTCAGTAAAGCAAAACCTCTGAATAAAAAATCTGAAATATCTTTATTATAACAAATTTCTAATTAACGTATTACCGTTACCTTTACAGCATATCACCATCTGTACATAGTCTAAGTGTCAATCATAGGCTTATCCCACAGAATTACACCCTTAAAGAGGGGATATTCGCCATGGTTTCTTCGCTTTGCAGGCGCTATTCTGTAGGTGATTTCTTCCAGAAAATTGTTTTATGCAAAGGGCTGTAATCCACGAAAAATGAAGAGGAGAGACAATAAATGTATAACACTGTGAGAATTGCACATAATAATCTGGCTGCAGGTGGGGAAACCGTCAGCGGAAAATATGTTTATTGATTTAAGAAATTATATCTTAATAGACTTCGATTTCTACTCATTAATGACTGCTTCATTCATTTGGAATAATTCAAATGTTAATTAAAATTTAAGTAACAAATGTTCTAGGTGATTTAAGAGAATCGATATCTTCAAGGGTGTATCTACATGACGACTGTAGGTAGAGCCAGAAAGACCTCACAGTCTCCAACAAATTCTGGTAAAATCATTATCTAGGATTTTAGCTCAAAAATTTCAAACCGGTGACACGGAGCTACAATTGTACGCTTTGCTTTTATTTATTTATTTATTTATTACAAGATCCACAGCCCTAATTACAATGTAAATGAAATTAAGAAATAAACTTACAGTCAATAACGGATCTAATTTATACATTTTTTAACTTAAATTAATCGACCGACCGATCAAAAAGTTAAAGCCACAAAAACATAGAATTTTAGAATTAACAATTAAAAACAGCGCGTCTATCTTTCTCTCTGATCTGTGTGTTCGTGTACGCGCGCGCTTGTGTGTGTGTGTGTGTGTGTGTGTGTGTGTGTGTGTGTGTGTGTGTTTGTGTGTGTGTTCAATATAAATATTAACCATTTCCTTCAAGTATTTCAAGAACTTTCCTCATAAACACATGTCTACTACTATGAAAAATGTCAGTAACATTAAATTGCTTATTAAAAGTTCTATGCAATCGACTGACCAATGCGTTTTGTGCGTAATTTGATTTTGATCGTGTTACAGCAAATAATTTTGTGGGTCTCGTTCTAACTTTCGGGGCGCAGAAACTCAGTATTTTGGTTGATAGTTCAGGGCTATCTATATATCCGTTACATATTCCGTGTAAAAAGGACATGTCAGCAAGTACACGCCTATTTTTGAGAGTCGTGAGATTATGATAATGACATGATTCATCATAGTTTTTAAACAGGCAATGGGACCGATAATTTAAGTGTTTTATGAATTTTTCTTGCATTTTCTCCAAATCTTGAGTATAAATGATATACTGAGGGTTCCAAACTATGCTACAGTATTCTAGGATGCTCCTAACATAAGCATAATATAGTACTTTTAGGCAACCTATGTCTGAGAAGGAACAACTAACACGCAATACGAAACCCAGGCTTCTGTACGCTTTGTTTTTAATAATTTCTGTATGATCAGAAAATGTCAACTTGCAATCAATGTGAACACCGAGATCCCTAACACAAGCCGATTTTGCAATTTTAACATTACTAATATAGTATTCAAAATTGATTGTACGTTTCTTGCGAGTAAAGGAGATAAAAGAACATTTATTTATATTCATTTCAATTCGATTATCAGTATAATATTGTTCTAGACGGTTAAGATCAGCTTGTAGGCCAGTACAATCCATATCATTTTTAATTTTCATAAATATTTTGGTGTCATCAGCGTACATAAGGATTCGAGCGTGTTCGAAGCAAGCACCTACTTTGTACAAATATGAAGCGTACAGAAGTGGTCCCAGTATGGATCCTTGTGAGATGCCGGAAGGTATCGCAATAAAATCTGAGCAAAATTCTCCCATAACGATAGCTTGAGATCGATTGCGTAAATAAGATTCCATCCATCTAAGCAAGTTACCCCGGATACCAAGTTCATAAAGTTTACGTAAAAGAATAATGTGATCTACACGGTCAAACGCCTTCTCAAAATCCATGTAAATCATATCAACCTGAGACCTGCCATCCATGTTACTTAATACGTAATCGACAAATACTCCCAGATTGTGGCTGTGGACCGACCCTTCATGAACCCATGCTGCTCTATTGGTATTGAGACAGATATTACAGGATAGATAAATTTATGTACGACCCTCTCAAACACTTTGCTCAACACGTTAAGTATAGATATAGTTCGGTAGTTTTCAACTGAAGTCCTCATTCCTTTTTTATGAATTGGCACTATATGGGCCTTTTTCCAGATATTAGGAAAGTATCCATCACGAAGACACCTGTTGAAGACCAATGACACAGGACCCGATAGAGATTTAGCACATTGAACGAAGAATACCGATGGAATACCGTCGCAATCAGCTCCCTTTTTGACGTCAAGATTTTTAAGCAGTTCATAAGTACATTCTTCAGTAACATTAATGTCATGTATAGTGTCAGATCGTGGAGTTTCATTTATTGAGTTAGCTGGGTATTGATCCGCTGGTTCATAGAAGTTTCTCTCAAAAAAGTTGCTGAATGCGGAACAGATATCCGATGGTGCATTTAACACATTCTGATCAAAGGTCATTTGATGTGGATAAGAGGAGCCTACTTTTCTCTTGGACTTTATATAAGACCAAAAATATTTAGTATTAGTCTTAATTCTTTGTTGCGAGAAAGCAATGAATGATTGATGGCTTTCGGTCTGTAGTTTCTTAATAGTCCGTCTGAGATAGCTAAAATGTGCATAATCAATCGGGTTTCTATGACGCTTCCAATTCACATGAGTCCTATCTTTTACTTTAATTAGTTTTATTAACGCTATATTATACCAAACTGGGTAAATGTAGGTACTTGAGCAATGAACTTGTGGTACGAAGGTTTGTATTTTATTATTTAAAATCGAGTAAAATTTCGTAAATATGTGCTCTATGTTACTATTTTCAAGTAAAAAACTCCAGTCCTGATTTCTAAGCGATTAGTTGATACTATCAAAGTCAGCTCGTTTATATAGATATTTAGTGCGAGATTGAGGTTTAATTGGAGGGACTAGAAAATCGGAAGCTACAATAGAAAGAGTCGGATGTAGAGGATCTTCCTTTACTAAAGGCATCGTAGATTTCTTTATGGTGACGGACGAATCAGAGAAAATTAGGTCCAATGTATTATTACAGTTATTAGTGTAATTGTTAAACTGTGACAAGCCAATAAAGGAAGACTGAATGACAAAACTCGATGCAGCATTCTGAAGCTTTTTAAAATCAAAAAAAAAACTAAGAAAACTAGGAGCCCTTCCTCAGAATTATTGGTTCCCCATATTGCCAGTCAATGATAGGCAGGTTAAAGTCGCCCGCAATTATAAAGTGATCATTGCAGTTTTGGCTTTTGATTTCAGAGAGTTGATTCATGAATATGTGCAATATTGATGGAATTTGATCATTGGGTGGGATGTACACTGTAGCAATATGCAAATTATGCCTGGTTTTGACAGCTTTAGCAGGAATAGTTACCCACACAGACTCCAGGCCACTACAATGCCATTCTGCCATTCTGATCTGGCGCGTGCCTGTAAATTCGAAGCACACATAATCATTACACCACCCCCCAACGACCCTCTGTCCGTACGAAAGACTGTAAATCTGTCATCACACAGCTCAGCATCAAAAATGCTATCGCAGAGCCATGTTTCAGTTACCATAATTATATCGGAGTCCTACAGTAACACGTTTTTAAAAAATTCATCGGTTTTGGTTCGTAGTCAAGTCGTTGAAAAATATAGGCAAGACAAATATAATTGCAGTTGGTTATATGGACGGTCGAAATCAATTGAACCGCACAATGATAAACGAATGGTTTAAATAGTGGTTAGGTATTACGCAGAGTTTGAGTGACATATATGTTAAAAAGCATTGGATGTATTCGTACATGCAGTAAAGATAAGAGGTTAGGATAATATGCAATTGTTTCTAAGGTACGTGGTGTGTATGTGCAGTGTATAATATGAATATGAGTGTAATTAGATTTTATAATGTATGTGTATTTGTGTATGCTATGTGTTAAAGCCGGAATATAATAAGAAGTGTGAGAAGTGTAAGAGTAGAGAGCAAGGCAATTAATTACAATATCTTTCCAAGATCGCCCGTCGAGTCTATCGCAAATGGAGTCGAGGTGTCGTTTCTTCTGACATAAATTCGGCAGTTTTTTCTCCACACATACTTGTACCCTGTCTCTCTTGCTTTTTGCCTACAAGAACCCAACAACATTTTATTTTCTTTAATGAGATGTTCATTGATATAGATTCTGGTCTCTTCACCTCCCATCCCGATATCTCTGGTGGTCATGTTGCGATGTTTACGTGCTGCAGCGATCACTCGGTCCTTAATAGAGCGCTAATATGCTAGGTACTGCTATTTCCGATCTGCGAAAAACCATGTCAATTGAGACAAATCTTTCCCAAGACGAATATCTAGCAGTAGAAATATACAGGCTCATAAAGAAGATGAAGAGGAAAAAGAAGAAAAATAATAACTCAGCTAGTTGTTAATACCAACCACGTCGGCCTGTGTAAGTTTTGAATAAATATGTAGTGATATCATTGATGTTAACTTTGATTATGCATGTTGGTTTTACTTTTTTTTTACTTAAAAATGCACAAGCACAGATCGTGTACTTATTTGATAATTACTCATGAAAACCTCTTTAAATGTACTTTAAAAATAAATAGAGTACTTCTCGTCCATTATGAACAATGATTGTTATTTGAGAATTTAATTCATTAGTTTTAATTTCAGTTATTTGGAGTGAGAATCACGCAAGGTTCTAAATATAATAAAGAAAATAATGGTGGAAAAAAATATCGAGATTTTCGCGATATTTTGATAATATACTATTTTTAACCTCATACTAACGAACGGTGACGGTAAAAACCTTTAATTTTTTGTTTTTGTCGCTAACTATTCAATCAATAGTAATAATGAGCACTCACACGTACGCACAAAACGCACAAAATCAAGTTCACTTTAAGGGTGCTTTAGGTTAAGAAAATAATCCAAAATTTAAATACATGAGCATGCTGTAATCTTTAATAGACGATGTTCTGTATACAGTTGGTGATACTAATAAAAAACCCCAGGCTTCAACTCAATGCCACTAAAAATACTAAATTTAAATAAAATTTACTTATACTCAATCCGTCCTCTAATTGATATATGGATACTACATTTAAAATTAGTAAGCGAAACAATAAGCGCCAGTGATACATTGGGATCATACAAGCGATAAATTTCCACACTGGCTGGGCCTTTGTTCTCAGGAGTTTAGAAAAATGTGGCTTTGGTCTTGACACGACCCACGCGTCGGCTTCAATGTAAGCAATCAATAGATGATACTAATTGGTAATTCAATACTCATGGAAAGACGACGGCTCCGTGGCGCAGTGGCTTAGCAATCAGTTGTTGCGCTGGGGGCCGCGGGTTCGAATCCCGCACGGAACAAGTATTTGTATGGCCTACAAATAATTGTTCCGGATCTGGATGTTTGTCCTTGTGCAATTTATGTTTGTAAACTGCCTCCACGACACAGGAGAAAATCCTAGTGTGGGGGTAACGTTTTTTAAAAAAAAGAAGAGAAAGTGTATTTTTTTCGTTTCAATATTTCCCCATTCATAGATAATCCGTATACATAGATAACAAGGTTACAAACTTATGTGTTATTTTTTTATCTTTTTTACAAATAACAACAATAACCATATTAATAAAGTAGAATTCCATCCTTAAATTTAAATACTTGGTTGTAACATGACTGAATAAAATGAAAACAATTAAACTATTTTATTTATCCAACTGTAACTTTAATTTGTTTACGTTGTATTTTAAGCTATGATTAACATTGATGTCGTACAAAACAATTTCTCTATCGAAAACCATAAACTATCAGAGCGACGACGCGTTGCTTATATGAACAGTCAAAAGTTGTTAAGACAGAATTCGACGAAACACTATAAGAATTTTTCATAAAATTATAACTTCTGCCTATTCTGATTACACAAGTAGAAAAAATCTAAGCATTTACTTTTAACCTTACAAAATTACTTCAAACTTTTAATTTAATAATTTATCAAAATAATATTTTATTATTGTAAGAAAATTACTTAAATCTGTTACTAAATAAAATTATTTTCTTTCTTTCTTTAAATTATTTATAATTTTTTAGAAGAAAAAAGGACCAACACTTCAAAGGGACCAATAAATTTAGTTTTGAAATTATTTACTTCTTTCTTTAAGAGTTTCAGGTTTTCTGGCCTGGCAAGATGAACAGCAAAAAATTCCAACCATTCGCAGTGCTCGCAGAAAACGGCAAAGCGAAACACTTTATATGCATACCTTGATCTCATATAGACGTAACCGCGCATAGCCGCGTCGCATTACGGTCGCAATGTTTATTAACTATATTATTTACTAAAAATATTAAAGAACGTGTTGTGGCAGTGTGAGAATATCCACTACCCCCACTATGTACGCCATATCGTCCCGTGGGTGTCGTAAGACGCGACAGATGGAAAGTGAAACTAGAGATGTGCAGCAAGAGACTTTCCTGATGTCAAACAACTCAAAATAATAAAAAAAAATGCGTGAGTGTCGTGGAACACTCGGTTGGAACGAAGTTCTTTTCGTAGTATATTACTATTAAAATGAAGCGTCATTTAAAATAAAATAATATTTCTTTCATGTCAAGCTAAGAAAAAATGTGAGGGAGATGGATATTATTCAAACTCGCTTCTTTATAGCCGCCAAGGCCGTCTACACTAGGTCGGAAAGGGGTCGTGACGAAAAAATCTTACACTTTTTCTCGCCTAGCCCCAATCCGCCAAATTCGTACCGTCCGATAAAGAACTTCTGTACAAATCTAATTTCGTTCCAAAAAACTTTGGCTGCCGACCTGCACGCCAAGTGAGAAAACTAAGGTAAAATCCCCCATAAGAGGCAATGACCAATAGGGAGGCTAAGTTCAGCAGTGGAATTTTACAGGCTGTATTGGATTAAGGGAAATCACCCGACCCAATAAGTTCCAGTACGACCTGGCTACGCTATTACTAGCAGCGTAATGTCACACAATACTTTGTCACGTATACCTCAAAACTTGAAAATAAAACGAAAACAACTGTATGACATATAGATCTAAAACGTGGTCTTTCACTGCTCGGCGTATGAAGAAACCATCATTATAATAATTATTAAACCCCTCACAAGTCCACTGCTGAATATAGGCCTCACGCAGGGAGTATTTTAATAATGAGTATCCATCATATCCCGCATATCCTACCAAAAAAAACACATTAAAATATTCCTTCACAAAATTTTTAATTAAATTACATACCGTGTATTCATGCATTCATTGTTTCTCGTGGGTATCGTAAAATGCTATATTAGGGTGTAGGAAAAGTAAATATTATGGCTTCCGATAGATGACGTATGGTTATCCATTACGTTTAGAACAGGTGTAAAAATCAATTAAATTATAAAATATAAATAGTCAAAGATGTGCAACATCTTTTACTGTGATCATCAATCAACAATTAAGTAACAATTAAGGCAAATCCTCTCTTAATTGTGGCCATATCTAGCAATGGGATTTTCCGGGCTAATAAAGTAAATTAAAGCAGAGAACTATTCCCACACATGGCTAAGTAAAATTGTACTAATTTTGCAGTTTCATTCATTGTTTATTTATATTATATAAGAGTAAATTACTCTTCGTTTAAACAAATCTAAGTAATAAAGAAATCCTGACATTCTGTTTGTCTTTGACTAAATCTTCCGTGGAAACGTTTTAGGATACTGATTGAAACTTGTTTGTCTTTTGGAATAATTGGATTTTCTATTTAGATGTTTCTTAATTAGATGAATTAAAATTTACTTTGGTTCAAAACAAATTTAGAAGACGATAGGAAAATTAGGGGAAAGTTTGGGTTCGAGTGACATCTCCTTCTACTTTACTACTTCACCACGATTTACTAGGAGTTTTCTTTATCGCACGACTTTTTTGTGAAATCGTTTACCATCGGTGATTTTTTCGGACCGATAAAACTTAGAAAATTTCAAGAAACGAGCTAAGTCATTTTTAAAAGGCTCGCAACTTACCTGCAATGCCCTTGGTGTTGCAGTTTTATATGGGCGGCTGTCGACATTTACGATTAGATGTGCTACATTTTCGTTTGCTTCCTCTTCTAAATAAAAATGAGGACATATGCAGTTTGACAATGCCCATTAATTTTTTATCTACACCCCAACACATAGTCACTGCTTCTGAGATACCTACATGTTATAAGATGTCCTTTCGTTCTATGTTAATCCTTCGCGAGAGCCCTAAGGAGACTAGTTGGAGCCCACCCCACGCTGCGTTCGTTTACACTATGTTACTAGTTAAGATTAGAACCAATGGTGTTACTAATAAGGATAGTTAATAATAACTGTTGAATATCTTTCTCCATTGGATGTCGGCCTTTGAGCTTTATGGCTGGGCAATGCCACTTTAGCCTATGGATCCATTG